CCCCCCCCCTCGCCCCTCCTTCCGGCCTCCTTGCAAGGGGCCTCACCCCTTCCTTCTGACCTCTCGGTGAGGCAGCATCACCCCTCCTTCCTGCCCCCGCACGAGGCAGCCTCACCCCTCCCGCCTGACCCCTCCTTCCCCCCCAGGGCCTGTACCTGGTCTACCACCCTGTGCAGCTGTCCACGCCCCACGCCGTGGGCATCCTGCTGCTGGGCCTGGCGGGCTACTATGTGTTCCGGGTGGCCAACCACCAGAAGGACCTTTTCCGCCGTACCGACGGCCGCTGCCTCATCTGGGGCCGCAAGCCCAAGGCCATCGAAGTCTCCTACACGTCCGCCGACGGCCAGCGGCACCACAGCAAGCTGCTGGCATCGGGCTTCTGGGGCGTGGCCCGCCACTTCAACTACACCGGCGACCTGCTGGGCAGCCTGGCCTACTGCCTGGCCTGCGGCGGCGGCCACCTGCTGCCCTATTTCTACATCGTCTACATGGCCGTCCTCCTCACCCACCGCTGCCTGCGTGATGAGCACCGCTGCGCCAGCAAGTATGGCCGGGACTGGGCGCGCTACACAGCCGCCGTGCCCTACCGCCTGATACCCGGCGTCTTCTGAGCGCCATCCCGGGAGCGAGCATGGCCGTCGGGGCTGCCGGGTGCTAGCGTCCTGGCCGGGACTCTGTGTCCTCATTTGTGACGTGAAAAGAGCCTGGCGCGGGGCGGCATCCAGGCGGCGATGGTGTTCTCTCTGTTCCCCTCTTCCGGGGGGAAAGGCCGAGAATTTACACCGGCTGCCCTCTCGCCAGAAGTGACTGACCTCTCTCTGGCACCCCAAGCACAGGGGGATGACTTGGTTCTCATTTTTGGAATTGGGGGGTCTCCCCCTGTCGCCCAGGCTGGAGGGCAGTGGCACGATCACAGCTCACTGCAGCCTCGTCCTCCTGGGCTCAGGCGATCCTCCCACCTCTGCCTTCCGAGCAGCTGGGACTCCAGGTGTGCCAACACATCTGGCAAATTAAAAAATTTTTTTTGAGCTGGGCTCGGTGGCTCAGCCTATAATCCCGTGCTTTGGGAGGCTGAGGTGAATGGATTGCCTGAGCCCACGGGTTCGAGACC